GCCAGGTGCACCGGGGAAGCCTCTTCCCGGGCTGGTCCTTCCCAGCATGGGCCGGGGAACACCGACTCTGTGGCTCCTCTGCATCCTGGGACAGCAGCTCTTCCTTTCCTCCCTTCCAGTCTGTTGCATCTCCGGGGCACTCGTTATGTTGTGTGTGTGGAACAGAGGCATGTGTTGGTTCCAGCTGTGGTCATGAACTCGGCCTCAGCAGTCCTTCAGACCAGGGGTGGGACAGCAGGTGCCTCCAGCCAAGCCCAGCCCCGTGCGGCCTTTGGCTGAGTGCCGTGGAGCCGGACAGGCTGGGTGTCCCTGCCCTTGGCCATCGCGCTGTCGTGCTGGTGGTGATGCTCTCCACCCACGCTTCCATTTCGCATGTTCCTGTGTGACACGTGGTGCCAGCTCACTCCTTCTGAGCATCCTCGGGCGAGCCTGCGTGCTCAGGGCTGCTCGGGCCGGCACAGCCGGGCTGGCGAGGCCAGGTGGATCCATGCTGGAATTGAAGCCTGCTTGGCTCCAGCTGTGCCTCTGCAGATGGAAGGTCTGGGCTGGCCTGGCAGCAGCGATCCTGGCCGTGGCTGTGTCCAGGAGCATGGGGCAGTGCTGCCCAGATGGACTGTGTGTGCTGGCTCTGGTCTGTCCAGCTGTGCAGGGCTGCATCCCAGCTGCCTGGGGCTGGGTGCTCGGGGCTGTGTGTGCTGACAAGGGCTCCAAGGGCACCCTGGTCCTGTGTACAGCTGGCCCGTGGGCTCTGGGGTATTCCAGAGTCAGTCCTGGCAGGTAGAGGTGTGCCAGGCCTGGCAATTCTCTGGGAGTCAGGTTTGGTTTTGCACAAGCAGCCGTAGCAGAGACTGAGTGTTCTCAGTGCCCAACACCTTCCCAATCCACGCTGCTAAATATATACTGTACTCAAGGGATTATGCATTTGTTTAAATGCATAATAAATGTGTTTAAATGCGTAAGGCTGGATCATAATGCACACCAGAGCTTGCCAGTTTGGCCTCCAGTTACAAGCCTCTCTAAGATACATCTCCTGGCATATTACCTCATCTTTCTGCTTTCAGAAAGAGCAGTTCTTGGTTTTATCATGGCAGGGCAGTCAGTGGAAGCAAATCCTGGATATGTCAGGTACTGAGTGCAAGTTAAAGCTGAGCTAGTTCTGTTCAGCAGACACTTCCAGGTGCAGGAGGGGGCTTGAGATTGATCCTTTCCACCAAAGAAATGCAGATATGGAAGTGGGCTCCAGATTGTCCTATCCTAGTGAGAGCCGGTGGGCTGAGTGCTCGTGTCATCCTTACAGCCACGAGAAGCTGCACTCACTGCAGCTCTGCTCGGGATGGTGCCCCAGGGGCTTGGTTTGAATGTTTCATGCAGGTCTGTTGTCTGGAGAGGTTCCTGTTGGCCACTGAAGGTGTGAGTGGGGCCAGGGGGAGGAGGCTGAGAGGTGCCTCCCAGCCCAGGACCGGGGCTGGCTGGGGATGTGGGAAACCCAAGAAGAGATGTGGCTGAGCAGCATGGCAAGGAAAAACAGATCTTCCTCAATTTTCTGAGAAAGACTGGAGGGATGCGAAGGCGGGTGCATTGGAAGGATGGCCTTGGCACGCTGGGTGCCTGCCTTGGGTAGGTGGAGCAGCATGCCCAGGTGCCTGGAGGGCCTGTCCCTCCTCTGGGGCACGTGGGGTAGTTCAGAGCCTGGAGAGCTAATGGCTTTGCACCGATGATCGATATGCCTGTGCTTTCAGATGTGGTGAGGCTGGGTTTTATGGAGCAATCTTTGCATATTCCCTGCACAAGCAGCTGGGCCGAGCGCCGCTCTAATGGCCTCGCTATTAGCGGGCTCAGAACCCGAGCCAGGCTGAAAAGGCTGTGTAAGTGCTGCTCAAGCGTTTTGGGCCAGGCGTATTCCATGCATTAGGGAAGATTTGTACTCTTTGGACCAGACATCACTGAGTGTTGTCTATTTATACGCATCTAAATATATCCTCTGCAGTCTTCAGACTTTTCTAGCTAGTAGTAAAATTACTTTTCAATATCATGCTATTAAACCGTGCTTGCTGACACTATCTGATGAAGTTTGTGCTGGGAGAGGCTTATGTGTGTGTGTTTGTTTTAAATAAAAACTATTCTTGAGGTAGTTACCTAAAATGCTTGGAAACAAAAGCTTATTGTCTGTGTGGCTGGGTAGCAGGGAAAAATGTGGTCAAACAGGAACAGTGCTTGGAAACATGCTCAAGCCTGGGAAACCAAATCCAAACCTTACCCAAAGTATAAGGTTTTTTTTGCTGAAGAGTGAACCATTCTTTCTAGAAAGTTTGTATCAAATAATCATACACTTTGCAGCAAAATAGAAACATTTGCTTCAAATTAGTCAGATATACCTTCTGGTAGTCTGGAGTTTGAGATGTCGTTCTGAAAACAGAATGACGAATCTTGAAGTAGGGTAGGTGATGGAATTCCTCTGCAGTGCCCAGATCCAGGCTGGGAGGGTGTTCCCTGCTGCAGGGCTGGGTCTGTGTGCTGGGTGCAGATCTCTGGAGCTGCTGTGGCTCTCGGTGGGCTCCTGAGGAGGGGTGCAGACCTCAGCTGTGTCCCCCATAGCCCATGGGCTGGCTGGCTGGGTGCTGGGGACAGACATGGCTGGCTGATGCCTGCAGCCCAGCATGGAACAGTGATGGCCATCCTTTTGTTTTCTGTGGCAGCTCTTGCTGTCGGTTCTCTGAGAGCTAAGAGGCTGCAGAGGAAGGGAAGGGGGTTGGTATTCACAGGGGAGTGGGTGAGGTGAGGAGAGGAGAAGGCAGGGCTCTTGGAGAGGGCCCTGGCCCTGAGCCCCTGGAGCCAAAGACAGGTGCTGGTCCCGGGGCCACCCCAGGTCCCTTGGCTGGGGCTCTGGGCTCCATGAGCCAGAGGTCTGTGCTGTGGTGACACGC